TGCCGTCCCATTAAGCACGGATCGGAATGACGGATCGGGTATCTCACTAGAATTGAGCATTCCGTTCTAGTTCCGTTCCGTGACAGTTTTCTCTACCCGTCCCATTTAGCAAAAACGGAACGGAATGTCGCGTCGATCATTGGTAAATATGCTTGATTCATCGATATTTCGTTATTTTGAGCAGTTGAAGCAATAATATACATATAATTTATGCAATTATCTTGCTGATAATATTGTTGTGAGTTCTCTAAAATATTGAATTGTAACGGTAAAATATATTTTGTAACTAGATTCCTTTCCGTTTTTGCTGAATGGGACGGATAGAGAAAACTGTCACGGAACGGAACTGGAACGGAATGCTCAATTCTAGTGAGATACCCGATCCGTCATTCCGATCCGTGCTTAATGGGACGGCACCCTTAGGGTACAACCACAATAGAAGGAATAAGGAATAAGAAATTTCAGTCTATCAGAAACTATGTATACCAATGTATTCCGATAGGTTTAAGATTTCTTAGGCTGCGCAGAATAAAAGAAACAGAGAATAAGAATTTCAACCTATCAGAAATCATATACTGTGGAATAAACAGTGTGTGTATATAATATGATTTCTGATAGGTTGAAATTCTTGTTCTCTGTTCCTTTTATTCTGCGCAGCTTTATCCCTTACTCCTTCTATCGTGGCTACACCTTTAGCCTATCAAAAATCGGATACATTGGTATACAGTTTCTAATAGACTGAAATTTCTTATTCCTTCTATTGTGGCAGCACTCTTATTGAAATTGCAAAATAGTCCTACTATATCGGCAATGTAATAACTGCGCATGCACTGTGGTCACGTTTGCATGATGATAAATTATTCTTTGCTTTAATTAAAAACAAATTTTCTTATATAATTTAAATTATAACATAGGCCGGTATTCATAGTCAGTTCTTATTTGAAGACTGTCTTAAGTAATGTCTTAAGATGCTAAAGCGGCCCTCGGATTGGTTCGACTGAACTTAAGACGATCTTGAATATAAGAACTGACTATATGAATACCGGCCATAGAGAGAGAATAGTTGACAAGTAATTTAACGATACATGTGTGTGCAAGAGATCACGGACGAAAAATGGAAATAAACACAACGCATGATCTCTGCCTCTCACATCATGGTGCAAACGCGATGGGATGCGAAGTGGAAAAACTCGATAAAGGACACAAGGGCCTTTTTCCTGTAAACGCAAAAGTTTCCGCACACTACTGCCCTCTGAAGAAATAGATATAAACTACATAGCAATTTCACTTTTTGACAGTGTGTGCCTGATGGAATTGTTGAAATTGTGAAAATTTCTATTTATTTGAAAGATTTAAAAATAATATTTCAATACACGGACTCTTAATATAAAAATAACAAAAGTCATTTTGAAATATTTAGTTATTTTAGATCTTATAATTATTTCTGTGATTTATTTTTATCAAGAGTATCACAAGAGTGGAAATTGTTGTGCAAAAAAAAAAAATTGCACGCCAAATTTTTCAGAAACTTGAAACGCAACACTACTAAACTGCAGTAATATCACCAGATTGACTAACAATTTTATATTTTATTTTTTGCACATTTTTAGATCAATCTTAGTAATGTTGAGAATGACATATTAAAATTTGTAAATTATTAATTTTTTATTGTAAAAAATATTACCTCAGCCGGGAGTCAAATCCGGACCTCCTGGTATTTCGAGCGAGGGAAATAATATAATATTACGATTTATATAATTAATATTTATTATTGTACGAAATGTAAAATGTAAATAAATGAGCCTTCCTATACCTGGAATTATCACGTTTAGTTTATGTCAAAATATAAAAAGCGAAATAAATATCTGTGATACGAGAGCAATTAAAATATGTACAATATTTGGATTGAACATGATATTATGAAAAGTAAATGTACTTTCATGTACAATTGAAAACAAAAATTATTCATTTTTTTTCTAATCACATCTCTCTTCATTTGACATTGCAACATCTGAAAATAGCGTAGTACGCAACTGGAAAGAAAAATTCAAGTAAAAATTGATAGCATTTACATATCTAAACATACGTATAAACAAATTAATTAAATACATTAATTGGTGTAATATCTAGATAGATTAATATGTGTATATGCATTATAATATAAAACTTACATTCTCTTTGTTTTTATTTTGACATTGTTCCGAATCACAGCTACAGTTATTGCAGGTAACGCCATTCTTACGACACGTACATACCCGCGTAGCACATTTGGTTTTACAAGCACATTTTATCGGACTCTTATTATTGGGTTCTGTCTTATTAAAGGTCAATCGTTGAATCGAAAATTTCGATTTATTCTAAATAAAGAAAATAATTGTTGAAATTCCAATAACAAATTTCATGTAATTGTACAAACTATGTAGTTTTTGTACATTTCGCATTTGTTTGTACACGCAATAACGAAACCTCGTAAAGTGTTAAATTCGTGTTTGATTTACTGTTTACCGACTCAATCTGACTCGCGCGAGTCAACAGTCTTGTTGGCTGCATTTTTTACTGCATAGTTTAGCTCTTCTTTTGCAGCTAAACAGAGAACGGACCATTAACTCGAAGTCGGCAAATCAAGTTAATAAATCAAATGCGCTATAAGAATTTCAATCTGTCTCAGAAACTGTGTATTCCATAGTGCATGGTTTCTGAGTAATTGATTCTTATTCTTTGTTCCTTTGATTGCGCAGAATCCCCTGAGAGATAAAATCCTTATTTGTGAGTTTATAAGTTTAATTATTATTATTATATAAAAGAGTCCTTGAAATCTTCAATTTATTTGTCTATAAGTTTTTTTTTTTTTTTTAATTTATCACTGATGTGAGTGAATAGAGATAATTTTATTATTACAAAACTTTTGTATAAACATTTTTGTATAAAACATTTTTCGATATCTGGAACAGTTTTTGAGATATCAAAAGAAAGCTAAAACCCACGTTTACCCCACCTCCCCTATAAGAAAGAATTTCACCCTTTAAAAGCGCTTTCCCGCCGCAACTGATATTTTTCAAGTTCATCTTTTTAAGTAAACAGAGTTTCATTAAAATCAGAATTTAACACTTCGCGAACTTCCCTTATTAGTAACAAAAATTGAATGATAAAAACTAGCACACAAATGAACAAGTATCGTAAAATATTTACATTTGTCGTAATTAAGACATCAGTTTCTGTAATACAAATTTACCTGTAATTTTTGTATGCGACTATAAAGCGGCGTTTTTTTCCAATCTGGATCTTTATCAATATCGTCCTCTATTATCGAACTGTTATCGTGCGATAGGTAATCATTCTCATCGAATTCTTCTATTTTACTATCCGTCTTTCTTTTCTTAGACAATAATTTTTTATTTTCATTCAAATTCTCTGTTAAAATCTAAAACGCATGTATAATATTAATAATTTAATTCCTTTTTTCTGAGTAAACACACAGAGCACGTGTTTACTTTTTATAAACGTTTCGTAAAATTAATTATACCTGTCTCTTTACAGATTTTGTTAAAGATTTTTCAGTATCACTAGAAAACATGTCGGATGAATCTTGCGAACAAGATATTTTATTTACTCTCTCCTGTTTTTCATATTCTTCTAATTGTGCTTCTAGATTCTGATACTTTTCCTAAAATGTCAGTTATCTTTGTATAATTAACTTAGACGAGTGTATCATACATAACATCCACATAATGTGCATATTATATGTAAAAGTGTATAACATGCAATATTTCACTACGGTATATACTAACTTTCAATTCGTTATATTTATAACATTGTTGCTTCCTGTCTTGTGTAACTACACGAAATACTGTTTCAAGTGCTATCTTTGCATCCATTATTGTACGTATCATATTCCATCGAATATTTACCGTAGTTTCTAAAGAAAAAGAAAAGAAATTTATTGACAGATTACCGTCATTTATACTTGCTAGTAAAGTGACTCTCAATGCTCCTCGCTTAATAAAATTACTCAAATTAATTTAACAAAGATCTTATTATCTTACTCTGATTATAATCTTACCCTGATCTGACTCGAGAATCTTTTGTTGCAGATCTGCAATTTGTATGTTACGCAATTCTATGAATTCAGTAACAGTTGCAAGTTCTTTTTCATCCGGATCGCTATTTTTTTTAAGTTGCTCCAATTGATGTACCAACGAAGCTCTATCTTGCATCAGTTTTTGAAGAGAATAATCCGCTTCTACAGTGGCCATTAGTACTTCCATTTCTTGAACGAT